CAGAAGACATTCGGCAACATGTCCTCGAGGACGAAGTCAAGTCCAGCGTCAAGTGACTGTGACTCACCGTCACCAAACAGCCGGACGACTTTGGCCACATACGGGCTGTCTTCATCCTCTCCTTCTATGAGGATGTGTTGGCCGGTCTTAATGACAGTGCTCCTCGGGAGACCTTCCACGCTGATGGCCAAAGAGCTGAGATTTACAGATTCAGATTATTAATGCAAAGCTAATCAACAAAAAAAAAAATCATGATTCATTATTACAGATGAAGCTGCCCAGACATATGGAAAGTAGTTAAAATTAGCTCCACCTTTACCAGCTCCACCAACATTAAATCAATGAACACATTAAGCATCAATAAATATGAACCAATAATATAATATGTAGTATTCTAAAATGGGCCATTCTGCATTATGAGTACTTTATGTACCATAATGTATCTTTTGATGATAATACTTTGGTGATTTTATTGATGCTTAATTATGAATGCAGGACTTTTACTTGTAGTGGTGTATTTCAACACTTTAGGACTACTACTTTGATTTAAGTAGAAGTGCAACTTTATATTTCTACTCTGCTACACCTGCCAGCTTTAGTTACTTTACAGATTACAGGTCATGATCCTCTTTCTGTTCAGTGAGAACCACGCATCTCTTGATATGTTGATAACGTGATAAACTATAGGATGACGTGCTCCTTTATGCGTTGAGAAAATGTAACTGCTCACTTCTTAAGCTAATAATAAACTATTTCAAAAGCCTCTTGGATCAGCTGGAAAATGCATCGTCACATCGCTGAAAACAGGGCTTCTGAGTTCCCTTTCTACAGATACGTGCACAGCGACGACTATTGTGATCTTATGCGTTTTGACTGGGGTAACATGTACTTGATGTACTGGAGGTATTTTTACTCATTTTTCTTATTTAACACACGATGCAGTTCTGTAGATTTTACTACACAACTGTATTTAAAGGAGTAACAGTTACAATTCCAAAAGACATCAACTTAGTACTCACCCATATTCATAGGTCTTTAACTTCCTGTTGAAACTTAAAGGCTTTCCACGCCACTCGTAGACTCGCCGGACTCTCAGTCTGGTGAAGTACTTCATCCTGTGTCCTCGTGGTCTGCTGCACGAGCTCAGATACAACAACACAAACAGTAATCAGGACAACACGAGGACTTGTCTTCGTCCGTGTATCTGCTTTAATTCGAACCCTGCATCGAAATAAAGGAAACGTTTACAGGGTCAAGTCTTCAGACGACACACAGCATCATTCAGAGGTTTCGCGCGAAAACTGCGTAATTTCCGTTTCTTCTTCTTCTCCTTCTTCTCTAGTTTTAATGGCGAGCTACAAAGAAACGTTAATGGTCCATGCTGCCCTCTAGTGGACTGGAGTGTATTACATCATGAGTTAATATTCTATAAAATATACAATAAATAATACGTACAGGTGGATAAAGTAAGAAATAAATAACTACAAATATATATGAAACTAGAATAAGTCTTACATTGTTATAATGCTATCGTTTTAATTATATATAGTGGTAGCAGTTCGTTCTACTCGTAGAAATAGCATGTGTTCTAGCTTTAAATTGTGGAGCTCTTTTTTCTATTTGGTTCAAATTAAATGTTCCCATCGGGCCTATTTAAAAATACTTTATCAAAGTTATTTTTTACAATCATATATTTTGTGTTATAGCAAGTACATTTGTAACAGTGTGATTTTATTTACCTTTTCCCTTCCTGCACATCCGTTTTTATTGTTGTTGGTTCGGTTTTAATAAATAGACCAGTCCGCTCAACATTCTTTATGCAGAGAAACAGCGACACCTGCAGGTCAATTCTGAGAATGACGCTCTCATTCTGAAAAAAACAATACAGGAAGTGTCTCTTAAACTGTTTCCGGTGTTGGATCGCAGGCTGTCGCTGTTCTGCCCATGCTAGCCGAGTAATTCATTCTTCATTCCGATGGCAAACAGAACTGTTAAAGATGCGAATAGCATACACGGGACCAACCCGCAGTATCTGGTGGAGAAAATCATCCGGACTCGAATCTACGAGTCTAAATACTGGAAGGAGGAGTGCTTCGGTCTGACCGGTGAGTATCATGTTAGCATGTTAGCCACGAGCTAACGTTAGCTTCCTCTCGGCTAATGACGTTAACCTGGCGGATTTTACTCCTCTGTTCTCTAATGAAAGCAATTTAATATATACGAGAAGTGTAGTGGGGTTTCTCTCTAACGTTTACGGAACCATATGTGTCACGTTCTGTTAAAAATAGCAAAAATATAAGTAGGCTAAAGCTAAGTATGTTAATTACCACAACCCGAAGTTTACTTTTGTAACTGTTTATTTTGTCGGACCAGGAGCTAAAAACCCTGAACACGTTCACTTTGAACATTGTGAGACAAACTAGAGCTGCTACTAACGATTCTTTAATTAGTGATTAAGCTGCTGATTTTATACCCTTAATGTATTTATTATGTAAACAAATAAAAGCGGTAAATCATCACATTGTAAAAGCTGTACCCAATATATCTTTGGTATTTTTATTTGTTTAGCGAAAAATAATTTTAATTGTCATATCGGTCCATCAGCTGGTTCTTTAAAACAGTTTTTGCTACGTACAGTTGGGAGTTATCGTTTGTTTTTTTACTAGATAATGTACTTTGATACTGTTTTGTACTTTATTTTCCTGTTCCGTGGAAGGGAAATCTTAATGTGACAACAAAATATATTAACACAAAAGTAAGCCCACATGTTTTTGTGTCCACAGTTAGTTTTTGTCCTCTTGTGTCTCACAATGACCGTTAATAAAGTGTGTGCATGTTGTGTGATTCACAGCTGAGCTGGTTGTTGACAAAGCTATGGAGTTGAAGTATGTCGGTGGAGTGTTTGGAGGAAACATAAAGCCCACTCCTTTCCTCTGCCTCACGCTGAAGATGCTGCAGATTCAACCTGAAAAAGACATCATTGTAGAGTTCATCAAAAATGAGGATTTCAAGTGAGTTTCAATCTATTTAGAGAATAACGTTAATACTGTCTCTGTAGTCCCTTCACCAAAAAAAAAAAAAACATAGGAAAGAATGTCGGCAGTTGAAAAATGGGATTTAATCAATCTCTCTCTTTGTTTTTTATTTTCTTTTTTAGATATGTTCGTTTACTTGGGGCGATGTACATGAGGTTAACTGGCACTGCAGTGGATTGCTACAAATATCTGGAGCCGCTGTACAACGATTACCGAAGAGTCAAGAGTCAGAACCGAAATGGGGGTGAGTTTTTGATTCATTTTGGACTGTGCCACAATGCACACCCTGGAATCAAATCAGTGGTTCGTGCAGTAACAGTCAGTGCTCTTTGTATTGCAGGTATAAATAAAACAACAAACAAGACAGTGTGGTTTCCACAGTGGAGCTCTTCCTTTATCTAACTACACAAGAGCCAAACATCCCACCAGACTTTTGGAATAAAACCCTTGATTGGCCCCCAGAACTGAAAAGTTTGCTCAAGATTTTATGAAGATGAAACATTCTCTCCAGTTCAGTGAGAGTTTCAATCATTTAGGTTCACCAATTGGGCCAAAATAAAATTCTAGGTAGTGTTTAGAGTATGAGAACAAACCCTGATTGTGTCGTGGATGTTTGATAAAATGTTTTCTCTTTTGTTTTAGAGTTTGAGTTGATGCACGTGGACGAGTTCATTGATGAGCTTCTTCATGCAGAAAGGATGTGTGACATCATTCTGCCCCGACTTCAGGTACGTTTACGCCTCATCTGTTCACACACACACACACACACACACACACACACACACAGCTCGATTCAAGTGCCCACACCACTGATGTGTGTGTGTGTCTTACAGAAAAGACACGTCCTCGAGGAGGCTGAGATGTTGGATCCACGTATCAGCGCTCTGGAGGAAGATCTGGATGAGGTGGAGAGCAGTGAAGAAGATGAGGAGGAAGAGAAGGTAATAATGTTTGTTTAAAAACTGGTTTACTGTGAAGTGAATAATAGTGATTAGCAATGTAAGATATGGTCATATACAGGTGACATTTTTTATTCTCAACATGGTTTAAAAACACATCTATTTGTTCTCATAGAAACCCTGAAACACATGTTGTCCCTTTTTATTAACAATATTATGTTTCAGTCCAGAAGCCTCTTCAGGTGAAAGACGTGTCGGTCTTTAATGCTCTCTGAAACACAATAACGTTGTGGTGTTTGTTACGCTGTGAACCTATCTTAACTTGTATTGTTTGCAGCCGGAGAGACTCCAGACCCCTGAGCCCCACAGACGGCGGGACGGTTACCGTGACAACGACCGGCCTCGACGCTCTCCGTCGCCTCGTTACAGACGCAGTCGCTCACCCAGACGGTTTGTGTTTTAATTATCCAAAACCCGTTCCACGGCTACACATGTTCCCTTTGTAAAGTGGTTATAAATCGTGGGTCCGGCTCTAAATCAAACCCTTTGGTGGTTTCTTTATGTTTCCAGGAGGAGCAGATCTCCAAAGAGGCGAAGGTATGTTGGCATTTACCTGAAATCCTTTAAATACAAACACATGTAGCTCACGCTCATTGGTGTTTTTTGTTCCGTGTACTTGCGTAGCCCGTCGCCCCGGAGAGACCGCCATCGCAGCAAGAGCCCCCGCCGACACCGCAGCCGGTCCAGAGACAGACGCCACCGCTCCAAATCTCCAGGTGAACACGACAAACCTCTCAGAAGTCTGTGTAAAGAACATAAGAATGTTTTGAGCTCTACCAGAATGTCTTTGAACACAAGCCACAGCAAGATGAGTCATGGTTGCACTATAATAAAAGTGAGATTGCAAATAATCTCCTGCAGCTCTTTGACGGTGTACTGCAGAGATCGACTCTGGGCCTCATCTCTTCCTCCATTCTCTTACCCCGTGGTAACATAATAAGTAGAATTGATATTTCTATGCAAATATATCTTTCCGTCAACCCGAGTGATATAAGTAGTCTGACTTCCCTAAAGACGTATATTTTTACAATGTTGATTTGCACCTACATGTAAAATCTCAATGGTTAATGCACTGATCCCCTGTCGTGCATCACATGACACACATCTGAAACCTCGCAGGTCGTCTTAGCTTTGCTGCTTCACTGTAACTTAAATACTGGATATTTTATTAGCTTGACTTGAGATCCAAACAATGGCCTCGGTTAAATTGATGTTGTTGATTTCATAGTTTTTAGTTTTTACTTAGTTAATTGTATGTGCACTAACCTGCAGCCTGCTGTGAACACAAATATTTGTTTTCTTTTTATTTCAATTCAATGTAACACAGATGTACTGATCGAGTCTGAGAAAAGCTTTTTTTTTTTAATGATGTGTAGAAGAGAAATTAACTTCTTACTGTATGTGATGGTTTGAAGATGGTTGTGTTACTTATTCTGTCACTATTGTGAACCAGGTCACCACAGAAGCCACAGACATCGCAGCCACTCAAAGTCCCCAGAGAGGTGAGTGATGCTACTGTTATTGTGACTACAATATGCAAATCTATTTGCATATGTTCGGCTGGGTCTCATTTGTTTGTAGGTTTATAAGGTAATGGCAAAGATTCAAGACCAGAGTTTCCAAAAAATTTGCAAAATTCTTATTTTCATTGAACAAAATATCCAAAGTTACTGAATGTTGTCTGGAAACAAGAAGCCCAACAATAACTTTGTCCATGAAAACCGTTTTATATCAGTACTTCTTGGTTCTTGATATGTGGTGTTACTGATACATTTTAGTCTGAACCAAAACAATGTCACCACAAAGTCTGTATAGTAGTTTTCTGAAGCTTTTTTTAAATATCACATCACATGATCCTCGTCTTATGTTCCTGTATATCTCCAGTGTTATTATGAACAACTGTTTGATTAATTCCATTCAACATCGTATTGTTTCTTCACAGGAGTTCAAAAAAGAGTCACAAGAAGAGTCGAAGAGGAAACGAGTGATCTCCCTTTCCTCTATTCTTACTTTACCTCTGAACTGTCAGAGAGCTTTGCGTCTAACTATTGTACGAAATGCGATGACCATTTTTTTATTTTTGTTTTACAAGTAATTTTCACTCTAGATGTTGGACCACTGACCTGTCTGTAAGATATGACAATGCAAAGCCCTCAGGTTTCAGCAGTGTGTATGTACAGTATCTAATCGACCCATCTGCAACCCCTCATTGTGTGGTTCCAACCCTTTGAGAGAGAAACAAATCCAATAGTATTCCCCTGTTTTCAGAAAGGTCTGGCCATTATCGATCACTTTTGGATCCGTGTAAATGTAGAAAATGTGTTTCTCTATGTTAAGACTGAGCTCCACACATTTGTCAGAAAATAAAGACCTTGATTCATTAGTTTTGTGTTTTTGGAAGTTGATTCCTGATGAAATTGATGGGATTTTATTTACAAGGAACTTTCAGGTAAAATAACATGCAAAAAACATTACAGCAGTTTTTTCAGTTTACATGCTGCACTGTAGTATAAGAATGCTAAATTGGTCTTAATGATACCATTAAACATCTCCAATAAGGTTGTCAATAATTAATGACTAAATAATTCATCTTAACAGGTTTAATGAACGATTCAGCCTTTCATACAAATTGTTCGTTTTTTAGATTGTCTTCCATTAACTGTACTATAGTGTAAAATCTTGAAGACACAATATAGTGTCATGCGCTGCCTGAGGAATCATAGAACATTGTGCAATGATAGTCAGATAGTGGTTGCTTTGCTTCTGGGATTTGGGCTCGAATTAGTTTTTCCCATTGGTTGAATACATTTGTTATGGGTTCAGTAACATCACCCAGCCAATAGGCTTTTGCACATTCAGATTGTGTGTACATTTGAAAATCCAATCCAGACCTATCAACATACACCCCTTCTGGTGAGCACCTAACTTTTGTTTTTAATTTACACAGTGCATCCCTCCCCAATAAATTGATTGGAGTTAGTCTTACTGGAGCTGTTATTGGAATCATTTGTGTAATTCCCGAGAATCCTACCGTCTTAACAAATTTACCTGACAAAGGGAGGTGTGTGGCGTATTCTGGACTCACACATGTGTAAGTAGCTCCAGTGTCGACCATCATCGGTGTTGGCCTGCCTTCTAATTGAACCTGTAGCATGGGTTCTTTATCAGCTCCTATGGTGATAATTGGATGCCGACCCTCCGCTTTAGGATTCTCTGGGCACCCCTAGTAACCATATTTTGGACCTGCCCATGGATTTACTGGGCCTCTACCCCCACGTTGCATGGACTGAGCCCCACGACCCCCCCCTCTCTCCACTCAGAGTCCGGCCGTGGTCTCGGACAATTGTCTCGGAAATGGCCTGTCTCTCCACACCCCCAGCACGCCCCCGGCAGGGGACGCCTGCGTTGCCTGTTCTGGAAAGAAGGTGGTTCTCTTTGACCTTCCCAGCAAGGGCGAGCAAACGGTGGTCTCATTGCCCCATTTCGTTGTTGTGCATTTAGCTGTTGTGAATAAACATTGACAACAGCGGGCAGGCTGCACGAATGATGGTTGTGCATCAGGTGCAGTTGGCATTGCATGGTTAGTAGTGTCGTTTACCATTGGAGCTTGGGTCTTTATTTTGTTTCTGTTTTGCAAGACACTGAGTTGCAGCTGTGCTAATTTTCGCTGAAGACTTCTCTCTTGCTCTTTCATTTTCTCCTCATCCTTCCTATATTTTTCTACAGCGTGCACCACATGATCGCGGAATTGTCGGTGAGGCATTGAAGTCAGTCCCACCACATCCTCCAGTCTGCTTTGCACTGGAGTTGTCAGGGCTTCAATACCTGCGTTCCTGAACAAAGTCATTAAGACATGGCTGCTCTCGGCCTCCTCCTCTGTCTCTTGTTTCCATATTTTCAGCTGTTTGTTAATATATGCAGCTGCATTCACAGTCTCTGCCAGAGGCTCCCCCTTTAATGATTTGGGATCTATTTTGGTAGGGTACTCCACCCTCAAGGCCGCCCATAACCCAGCCCTGTACGCATTGACCTTAGTCCCATCTGCCATAGGATCGGCCATCCAAGTATTTCTGCTATTGCGTAAAATATTTTCCATAGTGGACACTCCAAGCCCACACAGCCTTAATGTCTCCCAAGGCTAGCATTTTACCAACCGTTTCCTCCTCAAAAGCCTTGATCCACTTACCAGCCCCCTTATGAATGCCAGGTAGCCTGGAAATCAGTCCTGCAAGGTCGAGTGTTTGCCAAGGTATATAATGCCCCTGAGTTCCTATTATCAAGATAGGTTCACCCATGCAGTATCCTGTCTCGTGGGTGTATGTTCGGTCTGTATCTCAGATCATAAGCTTTGCCCTTTATTCCTCCCTTTTTGTGTGCCCCTGCTAGTCCTACTATCTCTCCTTCTGCCCCCCTTTTCTCACAAACCTCCCTGTGGCTCTTCTCCATTTGTTTCTCCAGCTGTTGGATCACGGTGTTTGCATGGTTGTGATATTCATCTACCTCTTCATCCATTTCATTAATTATGGTCCGAATTAACTCGTCTCTCTGTTCTCCCCCTCCATACTGTTCCGTATCCAGCCAGTAAGACTCTCCTCCTTCTTTCCCTGTGGTCTAGTTTTGTCCCGCATAACAATCTAATATTCGTGATGCCTTTGTTGCTTTTCCTTTTCTTCCAGTGCTGCAGAATTTTGGGGTTTGTTCTTCTATTTTTGAAGTGTGGTTCAAATCGAGTTTGAAACTGGAATAGGGGGCTGAATTGGGAGCAGAATAACAGTTCGGGCCACTGTGTGGGGGAGTGTGGTGCGTCATTAGAGGCACATTACTGTCTTTCACTTCAAAGTCTCCGTTAATGTTAACGGTTCCTACAATTGATGGATAACTTCCTGCAGCTGTTCATTTTGTCTACTTTTGCTTTTCTTTCTTTTACTTCAGCTAACCCATCTCTTACATTTGTCCTGTAGCGATGACTTATAATCGTAAACAATTTAATTGTTTCTAGTTCTAGTTCTCTTTTCTGCAGACGTTTTTTTATCTTTTGGTTTGTAATCCTTGATTCTTAGTTCCATATCCTCACACAAACCCACATCAAATGTGCCTTCTTTTGGCCAGGATGGATCTAGTCCTTTTTTGCATTTTGCCCATTTCTCTGAGAGTCTCTGGACATCCTTTGCATGCTCTGGGTTTTTGATCCCCACAATATCTACTGGTGTCACACTCATTTTCTTCATTTAAACTCACAAACTCGCAAAATTCCAAGTCAAAAGGCAAGGTTAATTCTGGTTTAAATGATTATGCTACTGATACATTTATACAGGTTACACTTGTGCTGTTTATTCCGACAAATAATTGGATTGCTTTTATTAACTTGAAATAGTATTGTACGATACTGTAGGATATTGAGGTTCTTCACTTCAGGTTATTTAGGAACATACTATGATCAATGTCTCTATGTATGATGGCTTTTACTCCTCATGTGCAGTTACAGGCTGCGTCACTCAACAATTTCTGGGCGTTCAGCCAACAATCACCACTAGGGAGCCAAACAGGAAAGTGGGGGGAAACCATGTTGGCCGGCAATTATGTTCTGGCAAAATGACGAGAAGAGACGTTGAATTGGAGTTGCAACCAAGCAGGAAGTGTTTTAATGAGCTCAAGGCAACATACAACAGATCCAAAGTATTAGTTATTGCGTTCTTACACTTATAGTCTAATTTCAGCCCCCTTATGTCACCTTCCACCAATCAAACCAGTTGGTTGAACCACAACCAAAGCACATCTTGCTCTCCAAATATGGTATGTTCTTTCTGTCCACGTTTGAATCAGATATCGGACAAATTTGACAGAACATTTGGTGTGCGTAGGGGAAGTGTTTATCGCACCCGCCCAGGTTTCCTGACGCAGTCGTTCTAGGAGCTACTGACGTTCTTATTTCAAGGAACTATCTGTTATAAAACCAACTGTGTTGATTTCAGCTTGGTTATATGATGATTTTCTTCAACACTAGTAGTAGTAATAGTAATGTTCTTACATAAACTTAAAATACAGTGCTAAGAGGGGAAAAACACAACAGGAATATAATAAACACAACATCTGATCAAAATCTATTGTAATAAACCATGTGATGTTGAATAATGCTAATGACATTTAGACATGTCCACAGTGGATGTTATTTAAAAGACCAGTGTTATTGAATGTCGTACAAATCGAGTACTACTTCCGACAAATATATAGGTTTTTGATATAATTTTTAAAGCTTTTGTGTTCCATTAACTACTAAAGTGTAAAAACTTGCAGACACTTGCCTGATAAAAGGATACAGCTCAATTAATAAGTATTCTCAGATTTGTTAGGCAATGCAATACATTTTTTTTTCCAGATTTAGGACCAGTGTTGTAAAGAAACCACTATGGCTCTTGCAGGTTTTCCAGAAACTCCTCTATTTCTCTCCACATTCGGTTCCTGCGTGTATTTTTAATCTTCTCCAGAGTTTTGATGCTGCTCCCACGATAGAAGGATTGATGCGGTATCTCTGCCGCCTTCATGTGATATTTTATTGACTTGTTGTGATCCTGTCGACGGAAGTTTAAATACTTTGCGTAGTTGTTGTAAAGCAGCTGTTTGTCTGCAGGTTCCAGATCAATTTTTAGCAGTTCCTGGTACATCTGCTCAGCTATAGCTATGTTGGACTCCGTGTATATAGTTGCAAGGTCTACTTTCGTCACAAATGAAGAATGAAGGTAACGAGAAATCACCTCCTCATGGAGACTGATTGCTCTCTCTACCGTGCTTTGCTTTGGGCGACTGTCCCCGGAAAGAATGATCTTCCATTTGAGAGTGAGTGCGGCACATCTCATCAGATAACGCACATCTGGATGTTGTTCCAGAGCCTCCTCTGCCAAATCAATGGCCTCATCAATAGATACATAGTTTCTGAAAACATTTAGTATTGCTTTCATACCATTGTAGCTGCTGACAGGATTTCTCAAAATCTTTCCGGCTAACTCACGTGCTTCATCCTCAACTTCTTCTCCATTCTTTGCACGTCGCTCAAGGTAGTAAACTGCGAGGCACAAGTTCTCTGGATCCTGTTCC